ACGGAACGGGCGGTTCATGCTGCAGGACCCGCTTCGAGCGCCTTCGGCGGTAGATCCCTCATAACTTTCTCAATTCGTAATTTTTCAATTATGAAAAATCTGAAGATACAAAAAAACATTTTAAAAATTCAAAATCTTCAGGATAATGATTCTAAATTCTAAATTCAATCTCCAAAAGAACTAAAACATACCCTTTTGCAATAAATGATATGTATCACTTTACGTATAACTGGTATTTTCTTAGTCCAGAAAATACAAAGTACTTCATGTTAGTAGTAATGCAAGTCAAGACAATGTACTAAGACAATTGGTTTGGGGTTTTCGGCCGACTGGCTGTGACTCTTCTGTTCCACTTAACGGGGAGAGTCTGCTAGTTTGTGTTCTCATGGACGTAGCTAGAAGGGCAAGTCACTGATAAGTGACTTGCCCTTCTAGCGTCTTTTCTTGTGTCTGCATTCTCTATAGTGTGAATTTTTTTGACAATTGGCATCAAATCCGAGCTCCTTTTCTTGATAAATTGAGATCCATGAAAGTGGTAGTGGAAGCCTTCATTGCTTGAACTTGTGAGCATCAGAGCACCGAGTGAGGAAGCCTGCGCAGGGGAGGAAGACGATGGAGTTGATGGATAATAGAAAATTGGATTAGAGTCACTTGGGGTGTAGCAGCTTTGCTGCAAATTTTAGTGTGATCTAACTTGTAATTTGGAAAATTGGCCGAAAGTTGATTCTCGACATACGGATCCGGAGCATGTAGTCGTTGGTCGTTTGGAGGAGCTGATGGGGTAGTCAGACAAAGAGGAATTTCGTTAACCGTTTGCCTGGATAATACTGCTTTATGGTGGATCAATGGTCATTTTGGATGTGATGATAAATGTTGCCGATCAACCTCATTTCAAGAATGGAAGCTGTTTTTTAGTTTCTATGTGAGTCGGCCTCCGCATGATGAAAATGCTGAAATTTGATCTGATCTACCAACTCACTTCATACTTGTAATTACTTCCTCCCAACGACTATGATTTACTCATTCCATTTTTGATAATGTTGACTAATTCATTTTCTAATTTTCGAGTTGTCTCTTAATAAATGGCTCTATTGCTTTTTATTCAGACATGATTGGACTCTTAGTCTCGTTCTGAGAATCCACATCAGGCCCGTCAATTCTCTCCATATTCCAGGTGATTGCTGGAGTTTTCTCTCCATAATAATATGTATTTAGCTTGATCATCCTTGTAATTGAGCCACGTCTTATTAGGGCCAGAGTTAAACTTTCACTTGCAGGCCAAAATTATCTCGTCATGAACTTCTCATAAAGAGCCATAGACCGGGTATCCATATATATATTTTTATTTCTTTGACCAGATGTCATCAGTCTCTCGGAAATGCCTTGTAGTTTTTTTTGAAGATTGACTCGCATATACTTAAAGTCGAATCTTTGTTGGAAACGGGCATGATCTTTGAAGCTTTACTATTATATTTTTCCTTCAAGATGAGGAGATCATAGCTAAAATCTATCTGACTCAAAGTTATTATTTGGAGATCTTGAAAGAATATTGCGTTATTATCACATGAGTAGCACAAGTAAAGTAAACTATCATTTTAGTTACCTCTATATAGTTTTACTCTATCATATTTTGACTACGGTTTACTTCTAGCTAATTCCAACTTAAAGAGTGATCTTTATTATGTTATTTCAATGGTTTTATTGCAAAGTAAAGAGTTTGTTTGTTGTTGTTTCCGGATATGTGTTAAAGGGGAAACTATTATGATATATCCAAGTTAAGACGGTGTGTGGGTAACGCACCCTTTTAACTTGTTTCATACAGCAGAACCTGTCTAAGTTAATTTTGCCGGGACCAACGGTTATGTATTAATTTAGACAGTTTATTAATAAAGAGAGGTTCTCTGTTGGGGTCATTTGTGGTGGGGCAGTTATCAGCACATTGACTAGAGTCAATGGTTCTGTATGAAACGCTAAAGTCTTGATGTAACAGCGAGACGTGTTTTGAGATTGAATTATATCGAACTCAAGAGCGTTATGGCGCTGTCGTCAAACCCATAAGCTGCGCTCCAGAGGAAAAAAAATCAAGATGGCTGTCACTTATGCTTGAAAGTTGCTTCATTTGTAACAGTTGTATTAATTATTAAAGTCAAAATTAACAAAGACTTGACACCAATATAATAATGATTTACACAGAGGATTGAGTTGAAATTTAATGTAAGAATTTGAATCAATTAAATCTTTATTATCAATCAATGAAAAATATATTTTTATTTTTAAATGTATTGAAGTAGATTAAGTCTAATTTTCAATTTGATGAAACATAGTACTTAATCATCGTGTTTGACTTGTCTCAATGAGAAAACATGTGATTTGGAATATTATATTCAATTCATTGATAAATCTTAATTTCTTCATATATTTGTATTGTATATTGTACTGTATAAAACAACACAGAACTCTACGATCAAATAATTGTCTTGATATTTTGAAAGAATTTGAAATTTCATGCAACATGAATTTAATAAATATTGATCAAAGTATGATGTTTGCTTCCACACATGTCCAATGATTAGGAATGTTTTTTATGACACTTATATAAAAAGATGACTTTCTTATTGAGTGATTGAACTGATCTTTCCACTACAACATTTTTATTCGAATACATTATTTTTCATTAATTATAGCTTACATTTGTTTCACAATGACAATGAGATATAAAATAAACAGTTACAACAACAAAAAACGCAACGATTACACATGTTAATTTTGGAAATTAGAATATATAATTGTGAGCCGAAACTCCCCACCCTTCAGCGTTTGTAATCTAGGTGGGAGTTCGAGCTCCCAATATCTAACTTTTCAGTTCTCAAATCATGTACTTCAAACCTAGCCTTCGAAGTGTATTCAAGTGCTTTCTAAGTATATTTCTAATGAGTGCCACCTCGCGAACACGCTGCCTCGTACGAAGTTAGGTGACAGTCATTCCGACAGCGATCTTCACACACAGGAAACGCTTCGCTGAGACCCCTCCCTTCACCAATCAACTCACTCTCGGCCCTCTCAATACTCTCAACCCTCTCAGCGAGCACTGAGCCCTCGCCTACACTCTCTCGCTCAGCCTCCCGGCAATCTCTCAGCTTGCACACGGTCCTCCCTCTCAAGATCTCTCTCCACCACCCCCGAATGATCTCTCAGCGTGCTCTCACACACGGCTCTGCAGCGATCCTCTCGGCCCTCTCACACACTCTCACAGCAAGTACATACACTGTCCACCTTCCCTCGACAGCCCCAGACCCCACCAGATTTCTTTCTCAGATTTAACTTTCACATTTCAGTTTCAAATTCAGATTCCGACTGTCAGATTTCAGTCTCAGATTTCACTTCAATTTCAGCTCCCATTCACAGATTCGACACTTTGATCTCAGACCCCTTATGAATTTCACTCTCAGATTCGACTTTCCACCCTTGAGAATTCGCTCCCTCCTCTTCGAATTCTCAACACTCCCCTCCTAATTCTCATCACTTCCTTGCGAAAAATCACTCACATCCACACTCCATCCCTGCGACCGATCCCACCTGCGTCCACACACATTGGCACCCCTCAAGATCTCAATTCCAAGGCCGAATTTTCCTTCTCTAAAGTCCAAGGGCCGAGGTACCGACAGGCCGCTTGAATGACGTTCCCGCAATGATGGGTAACGGCCTGCTTCCCACGCGCGACTTCACGCCGCCGCCGCCGCCACACTTGTACATTCTACATTCATGACCATGCCGACTTCCGCCGGAGGAAATCTTCTTCCGCGTACCGCCGAAGGTATCCTACGGCCAAAGGCATCCTACCGCCGAAGGCTCTTGACCCGAAGGCCCTCTACCGCCAAAGGCCCTTGCGCCGAAGACACTCTACCGCCAAAAGCACTCTTCCACAGCTTTGCCTATCTATAACAGTAACTCTTGACATTCATAACTAAGTGATCCCTTATCCGTTTCAAGAGTTCTTGGGCTCGTTGGAACGAGCGTGTTGAGCTCTCTCTATTGAGAGCATAATCAAGTCAAGGCGTTACAAATTGAAAAAAGAAATGCGGGATTTACTCTATCGCCGAAGGCACTCTACCGCCAAAGGTCCTTGCCCCGAAGGCCGTTGCCCCGAAGGCCCTTCGTCAAAGGACTTGCCTCGAAGGACTTTGCGCCGGAGGCGTTCTACCGCCGAAGGCACTCTTCCGCACCTTTGCCTATCTACAACAGTCACTTTCGACACTTATAACTCACTGATCCCTTACCCGTTTCAAGAGTCCTTGCGCTCGTTAGAGCTAGCGTGTCGAGCTCTATCCATCAAGATCCTAGTTAAGTCAAGGCATTACGAATTGAAAAAGTTATGAGAGATTTACTCTATTAGATTTTTTAAACTTCTCATTTCGAAAAAGAAAAGAAAAACTAGGCTACCACACCTACTAGCCATTACACCAACTCTTAATCTTGCCAAAACTTTCAAAAAACTCCAAGCATAATTTTGCAAGAGCTTAAATCCAAAATTTTAACTCTTATAAGATTAAAAAAACATGTGAGCGCATTTTTGTGTTCACAATAACATTTCTTATAACTCCAATATAGATGACAAAATATCATACAAGCTTTCGAACACGTGAGTTATATTGTTCAACTGCATTGTAAGTTATTTGAGAGAATTTTTGTTTTATTCATATTTCATTGTATAAATCAACACTTCTCAAAGTCTTCCACATGCAAATGTAAATAACTACTCAAATGAAAATTGACGTGATGATAGATAGATAGTGTCTTCTTCCACTAATTTATAGTGAAAATTATAGAAATGGCTGGTTCATTGTCCAGCACTTTCGTTTTCGTGCTGTTATTATTGAAGCATTCTTCGCATATATAACGGGACCATAGAGCCTTCAAATTCGTAGATATTTTCGATACTACAAAACAAGCTCCTGTATATATATACATACATACACCAATAAGAATATAATGTATAAAATAATGCCAAGAAAATATTATTATTTATAGAATGATCATAAAGAAGTGTACTCCTTTATAATGGTCTAATGCAAATAGAGCTACTTCTTGCGTTCAACTCGTGTTCTAAATTTGACGATAGGCAATGACATTACATACTCTATGATCTAGATCATGAAGTAGGCTTTTTGCATTTATGCAAAAAGCTCCATGACATGTGATCTGAACTGGTTACTAGATATCAAGGTACGCTCCTCACTTTCATCACCGATGCGAGGTTTCCTATCTTCCATTACATCCCCCAAGCTTGTACTGTTGCCCCTGAGCTCTTTGACGATTTCCATAGCTACATCCGCATGTTTCATAAACAAGTGCATCACTTGAGACATAGTTGGACGCTTCTTGGGATCGACTTGAAGACAAGACAGCGCCGTGTCCAGGACCAGCAAAACCTCTTCTTCATTACATGCTCCTTTGAGGTCCTCATCGACCAGATCCAGCAAATTTCCGTCCTCATACAAGGCCACAGCCTGCACATCTCACATGTTCATGATAAAGAGCACGATGTATCAGAAGATCAGTTTGCAAGCATCTTTAGTAGATTAACCTCGTACAGGCCATGACTAAGTTCGTAAAATTGGTATGTTCTACACAACCAAAGCTGTCAATCACAAGTCAAAGAATTCCATTTTTGTAGTAATAGTAAGATGTTCCACCTATACATGGCCATATTCAATGTATGACAACTTGTATAGGGAGTGAGATATGCTTATGGAGATTCTTTCATCATGTTCACGCAATAGGGAATCTAATTATTGTCTCCATATTGAGTTTCTATCTACATTTATAATTCACATGTCATTTTAAAGAGTGAAATCAGTTTATTGTTTTCAACATAGGTATCCACTAATTTACCACAGGGTTTAGGTCAATCTTGGCAGCCAAATCCCACGTTAGTTCTCAGTAACTGAGAACTAACGTGGGATTACTTGAAACCTGGTTTCAAGTTTCAACCTGGTTAACATAGTTAAAATTACACACATAGCGAGTGACTAGATTGTATTTATCTAGAGAATTGAAGTGGTTAGTCATGGCCCAAACTAGGGTTTCCCATACCTTGGAGTTATACCACTGTGCGTGAAATTTAGTGCATTTAATGGAACCATCATCGGGGTGGCGGTATATCTAGTAGAAATCATAATCAACTGTGCAACATTATTCCAAATAAGAAAAGTATAGGTCAGCTAGAATGTGATTAAACATAACTCACCCAGGCTCGAAGATAAATTCGTTCTGCAGTCATCCTATAATTGATGCAAAGCCTCCCGGAAACAATCTCCAACAGAACAATGCCGAAGCTATAAACGTCCAGTTTCTCCGACACCACGCCCTCTATTGCATACTCCGGTGAGAAGTAGCCCCTGCGAATGTTCAGCCAGAGAACCAAACTGTCAGTGGCTTGTATTACGGTGCCCGAAGCAAAACTAGATAAGGATAATTTTCCTGGATTGTAAGAATTTAACAACTTCATCCCTCATATCTGACCTTGTTCCACCGATGTTGACCGTGACTAGAGTGTCGTCTGTGTGAGCGGGTCTGACTAATCCAAAATCAGCAATCTTTGCATTATAGTCCTTGTCCAGAAGAATGTTCTGAGGTTTGATATCTCTGTGGTGCGAATTGGAGGCGTCAGTACACGTTTATGTGGAGTAATAAAACTCAAGTGCTACTTAGAGGTATGACTCATGGCTAAAGATAAATACCGTTGCAAAGTGGGTGTGTGAATGACCTCCTTTGGACACAACCTACTCCTCCTACTTTACAAGCTCTGTTTCACGATAAGAATCAATCTAAACTAATGGTTTCTGGCATACAAATATGAATCGCGTCCAGAATTGTCTGACCTGTGAATCATCTTCGGCTGCAACTCTTCGTGTAAATAGGCAAGACCACGGGCTATTCCAAAACATATTTTGAACCGCTGTTCCCAACTCAGTACGAAAACTTTATCGAGACCTAGAAGTGAGTGTGAAGTGGAGTGGACGTCAATAACTATCATCTATGTATCGAACAAAAGTCTATGACATAGATTTCGTTAGAATGTCGCTTATCAAACTACATTCCGTCAGGTCACCTCGGCCACAAGAATGAATTGGAACCTATAAATTTCATCAATGGAAACTCTGAATAACAATGCATTTCTAACACACATCAAGTAGGATAGAACTTGGAATCCAGAAAGACCGATGGAAAGCGATCCACGATTACAAATTCCAAACACTCCTCTTTCTCTTTGTTTCTGACATGGGCCTGATTCTGGTGGTGTGTTCCACCTGCATTTTTTACAACTTGTGTAAAATTGCGAAAAGTCGTTTGACAGCACTTTCATGATGAAATGACAGATGAGTTAAGAGGCGTACCCCACAATGCCTCTGCAAGGCTCCTATTCTCCGCGAACTCGTAAACTAGCATGCGTTGTTGCTTCTCTCTTACACAACATCCCAGAAGTTGAATAAGATTTCGGTGTTTGATACCCGTAATGTTCACCATTTCTCTGAAGAATTCGGCTGTATTTTGCTCAGTTGGATTGAGTTTCTTTACAGCTACAATGATTCCGTCTGCAAGTACCGCCTGTTCAAAGAGACGCAATACCAACCTTAAGTTTCAATACTAAACTAATACTAACCGTAAGTTAGAATCCATTCTAATACTTTGAACGGTTGTTTTCGAAGCTTCGCATTCCAAAACACTAAGGCTCGTGGGCTTCAGCAGACGAGGGTGACTAATTTATTTTACAGGCCCAACCGTGACTCACTTTTATGGTCCTGACTAGTACATTACCTTGTATACAGTACCATAGCCACCTTTTCCCAGTATATTGTCATTCGAGAAATTGCATGTAGCCGTCCTGAGGTCATCGTAGCTGAAGAACGGTGGCTTTACGTGCTCTTTCTCTAGAGCTGCATAGAGGAAGATCGTTTGCGCTCAGAATCAAAAGAATGGAAATCTTCCTCTTCTTCTACTTACGAAGCTTAGGTTCGAAGTTGACTTTGCATTCAGTATATGAGTCCTGGTGATTGCGCTAAACATTGCGAGAGAACTAACCTTCCTGTATTTGGTGTAGCTCTCGAGTTCGTCTCCGAATTCTGTACAAGAAATATGCAACTAAGGAGGCCATAAACAATAATACCAGTCCAGATACTACGCCCACGATGGCCAACGTTGTCGTACTGACGCCGTCATTATTCGCTACAAACAATTCAAATCCAAGGTCGTCATTTTGTGAGATACACAATTGGGCATTCTCAGAGAATCCAGTCAACAAAGTGTGGATGTTACAAGGCAGGAACTTACTCTGGGGCTCCTGCCAGAAGTTAACGTGCTCGTTTGAACGACATAAATATCTTTCGATCAAACTCGAACGGTTCCTTTCACGATCAATGCACCAAGGACTGTCTGTGAGCCTGTGATGTTCATAAACAACAAGGCTCAGGTTAGATTCTCTTTTCGTCCTTCTCAATCTATCGACCTAAATTCATGAATTTCAAATTCTCCGACTTAAGCTAGAGGCTAGCGCATGGTACGAGCAAAATGTAATCGAAAGGGTACTTGTGAAACCTATTTGAAGCTACCAAACATTGCGGGCGTAGGCAAGTGCCCAACCTCGTAAAATGAGCGCTTGAAACTTGTAAATTGAGCGCTTGAAACTTACAAAATGAAACCCAGCGGAAATTGTAATGAAATCTGCTGTTCATTAGGTGATGGGATTGGGATTATGCTGTCCAAATCAATCAAATTTGCAGGTACAATCTCCTTGATTTGATTCCCCTGCAACTTGACCTGCCTAAGAACTGCAGACGCTTCCAAGCTTCTTGCCTTAAGGACACCCTGATACCATGTCGTCAGGTTCAACGTCTCGAACTTGTTATTACTCAGATCTCTGCATTGTGTTAGCATCAACTCTTTGAGTACTCGGTTGGAGAGATACAATATAGAAATGAAATGTGGTGCCGTGAGGAGCTCCTTCTGGACCAGTGACGAAGTACCGAATGCTTATGTTTCACTTGCTATCAAACTGCTATAACAATTACGGTATCTACTAAATTTTGATGACCTTCTATAACTGAAATACACATATGGAGAGGTGGACTAATCCTTCATTCGTGAATATAAACCCAAGTCGGTTCAGGAATTCGCTCTCATATATCTCATATATCTCTCATAGTATAAGAATTTCCTCCTCCCAAATTTTCAAAACTGCAGTTTTAGATCGATTAGTCTTAAAGACATTAAAGATCAGTATAGGTTTACAAGCTATGAAAATCCAACATCGTCAAATAGAAAACAAAGACATCTTCCTCGAATAAGGATAAGAATATGAAACTCACACCAGTTGAAGTCTGGAACTGTTCCATAAGGTGCTGGGAACTGTTCCCCTCAAAAGGTTACTGCTCAGATTTCTGTACGTACATATGTGCTCACGTCATTTTAATGTATCGCAACGAAGGCAGTATTCTTCGCCATAGCAACGAGAATAAACTGACAAATTTCAAGGAGTTTCGAACAGTTGAGTCCCCTGATGAGTTTGACAGGTTAGTAGTTTAACAGACGTTTAGCTTCACTTACAGATATTGTAAGCTTGAAAGTTTGTCCAGGTCAAAAGTCAGCTCCCCAGTTAGTCGGTTGCTTGATAGGTCCATATTCTGCAGATTCTTCAGTTTCTCTATCTCCGTAGGTATCGCTCCGCTGAAGGAATTTCTGCTGAGGTCCCTGTATAACAGATGAGTCACGTAAATAAGAAGGGAGTATGAACTTCATAATCGCTTAGAAGGAGGTATAAAGTCACTTTATAGACAGAAACTCCACTTAGGATTACTGGTGTGCGAACAAAATCTGGCTCAGCTTTCTGCTTTCATGGCAGCATCTTGAGTCAAAAAAGTTAGATGTTTTCTTATGTGAAAAGTACTTCTCCAAACTATGTCTCTGTAATGAAGACATCATCAAGCGACAATGAACTCAGCTGCTAGCGATAACGATCGCCTATAGATTCCAGTAAGATTTTCTGAGGTTTAATGTAAGAGGAACGGCAAAGTTATCAATAATCACAGGAATTTCACATGAGTCGAATGACCAGAGTCGTGTGAGGAAAAGAATTAAAAAAAATGTGTAAGTGAAATGTGCTTCACGCAACTATGTGTGTTAGGCAAACATCAGACAGCACAGACATTGACCGCATCTGTTTAATGGTGTGCTAACATGAAGATACAGCATCATCACAACCTCACTCGCTGTCTAAACCAAGAGTAATGTTAGGAGAAGATGACTGCATCCAAAAAACAGCGTAAATAGTGCAACTTGCAGGTTGAAAAGAGGTTCAGCCAGTGAGTTGACGAGTGAGGAAAGGTTCCCTTTGAGCCTATTGTTGGAGAAAGATCTGCAAGGAAGTGGACAAGAAGGTCATCTACTTGATCCTATTCAAAAATAACGCAGAAGTCAGAACTAGAGTGAAACACTAGATGAGTTCAGCTGGAAAATACTGGATCATCGTCTTGTGTGCCAACGGCTCCATCGAGTACTCCAACTACTTTAGCCATGAATAAATACTCTGCCATCCTGCTTGGAATGAGCGAAGGTTTAAGATACTTACAGACTTTCCAGATTCTGAGATGCCAACGGCGGAAAGCCTGGAAGTTCACCTTCCAGCTCGTTCCCTCCTAAGTTCCTGAAGTTCACATAAAAGATGCTTGAGATCACTACGCTAACATTAGCTTCGATTTTCGAATGGATACGTTTGGTTAAACAACTAATTGGAGAAGTTGTGTAAACTGTTTCAAAATCGATCACGACAGACCTGATGCACCAAAGAATCAATGAGCTTTAATCTATAGAGAACACAAGTCACTGTGGCAATCTTGACGAGAGCAATGTACAAGTGAGCAGATAAAGTCATCTTTAGGTAGCCAACAATTAGTGACATCAAAATACTTCAGAGTTGCGATTACTTCTTACATTGCTGTTAGGGTCGTGACATTCCGCAGGGACGCCGGCACGCGACCACGAAATGAATTGTTAGACAAATCCAAAATGGTCAGACGATCCAACTGTCCAAAATCTGTGGGCAAATTTCCGCCCACGCCTCTGCTCGTAATATTTCTGCAAAAGCGTAGAGTTCGTCTCAGTTGATTTACCTCGTGCACTTCCGCTTAGCATAAGTTTTTTCTTCAATTCTGCCCGTGTTCTCCAGATGCTTCAAAGGCTTCTTCTGGATGATTCGTACGATCTTTTGGACTGTCAATCTGCGCAATAAATATGAAGAGTGGAATTTCCAAGCGCTTGCACATCTTTCTTTGGACGTGTACTAGAGTTGAGAGCCCACTTACATCTGTGTAACTCGAGGTGGTGTTTCGATGCTGCAGACCACCCAGGCCCATGGGACCGGCAGGCAAGGATCGCCGGCTGTATCCAGTAAACTGGGAGCGCTCTCGGAAAAGGTTTTAAGGGTGCTAGCTGAAAGTTACAACACATTAAAAATTAAAATTTTATAGTTCAAAGTTTCAAGATCATCAGACGTTGCAGACTGAGCACCATCAACTTCAGAGTCGATTCAGCGATCAATTGTTCTCTACTGAAAACTCATGGAAATCCACTTGCCAGCAGTTTCAAATACTGGCAGGATCGTCCACACACTTGTTAATCTATGAGCAAAAATACAGCCGAGTACAGAGAGTATGGCATTATCTTATGGAGTTCTTACAATCGTTCTGGAATGTCCTCCATACCACAGCATCAAATTCTCCATAAATCTCTGCTGCATTGACCAATCCGGGGTTTGGGCTCGTGCCATTTGCTCTGATTTTGAAGGTGGGAGCATTCGTCGTAAAAGTCCACCTCCTGTTATAAACTTGTAACAAAAAATAGTTGTAAATTTCATAAGTGTCATTGTAAAACAAGTGCTCACCATCGTCGTCCAAATAGATGTTGACAAACCGAGTGTTATTGGCAGTCTCCAGCATATCGTAGAAGACGAGGCTCAAATAGAAACTAGGGACGGCTCGCATTGCTCTTACTCCCGTCAAATTTAACTCAAACATCACGTTATTCTCCTTCTGCGTCGCAACCCAGGCTGTGCTCATCACCTCATCCGGCATATCCATCGGCGCATAAGGTTGAACATGAACACGCGAAACATTCGTTCTAGACGTGAATTGCTTTTCACCGCTGGGAATCTTCGCAGGAGCCCATATCCGGTCGTACTTGTCAACGGGATATCTGTACAGAGCGAACGCTCTCGATCAGTCACAGCCATGGCGCCGCAGCAGCAGTCGCTGAGACACCTCAAGTTCTGGCCAGCCAAACATAGTTGTAAATGATCGCACCGACTCAGCGACCGTGGACCTGAAGCAAGTCGTACCTCAACTGGATGTCGCCTCCAAAATTGAGCCGGGCCACTGTCAGGAAGTAGGTCGTGATGGAGTCTTTGAGCATCCCAGAATCGACTCGAGGATACATGCCAACTTCAAAGGGGCGCAGCTCCAGTGCGGAAATGGCCGGCATGGACGATCTGTCTTCGAGAGGGACCAGGCACACGTACACCATCTTATCGAACGCGGTGATGACGAGCTCGAGGATCTGAGGTTGGTTCTCCTGCAGCTCGATGGTGGAGATGTACGTCGAGTCCACGGTGAAGTAGAAGCGCATGCTGTAAGTGCTCATCAGGGATACATTGTCTCCTTTGGTGGTCAGATTGCTGCTCGGAAACGTCGCGCGGAGGAGGTAGTTCCTCGGCCACAAGGTTAAGTAGTAGAAAATCGGTAGATTATAGCAGAACTTCGATCTCGGTATGGAGCCTATCGGGTAGAAAACCGACGCATCCTTCAAGCTCTCCGCGTTGACCACGGGACTCGTGCTGGGCTCGAGAAGAACGCTGGCGTTGATCAGGACTCTCTCCTCGCGCAGGTCGTCGGATGCCTCGATATATCGCGCATCGTTCTCCCATTCCAAGCCCGTGACCGGATCCGTGAAGGCCGCGCCCCCGCAGTTGAGGGTCACAAAGGCTGCGCATCAATTCATCAGCTCCACCGAGTTTTAGTTGCCACTTCACACAAAGCTCAGAATTCCAGAACCTCTGTGCACAAGCTCGGAAGATTTCATCTCCCCTCCCCTGCCAGAGACTCTCGTCGGGTACAGAGAGCATTTACTTTCCAATCATCTCGTTGCCCCTGAGACTCAGGACTTTAAGCACTTCCTTCCCTCTGCCTGAGGCGAGGCCTGTCGCCATGAGACTCTCCAGAATTCATGACTACGATCCGCACATCTCTTACACACCATCCATCATTCAGACCCTGAAGCATTTGCAGAAGAAGAATGGTTCTCTTCCTTTCTTTCAATCAAATGCAAACCTTCTGGGGAGATTTCGGAATCTCGAGTTGCAGGGGGGTGAGCCCTCGTGACCTCTAGCCTGCAAAGCTGAACGAGCTTCACTGGAGCGAAGGGTGCACCCAAGTGAACAAATAACACATTCGGAGATGTAAATGCATGCGTGCGTACCTTCTGAAGACTGAGACGAGACAGTGGAAGCGAGCAGGCTGAAAAGAAGAGTCGCGGCCCACAAAGTTGTCACTCTGAAGTCTAGCTGCTTCGCCTTCTCGATGTTGCCTGTGTAGAAGTGAAACCTGCGAAGTTGTGACAGTTTGGGAGTATCCCTCGTCCAAGCCATGGGAGCTGGACTACTCTGCAACCGCGCATGGTTTACACGGCTAGGAAAGTCAGAAGGAGAAATTGCTTGCGGATGAGCTTTTCATGCGTACAACTGACTCAGACGAGCACAAGTCACGTCAGCTTCATGAAGCTCGTGACTTCCTGCGGGAAGCTTCCGTTTTCTAAAAGTTTTTCTTCGAAAATCTGGAAGAGATTGTTGACTGAGAATTGTTCACCTTCATCAGGAGATGTTGACGTTCGATGAATTTAGTATATTCATGCGGGAGCCGCATAGAAATCTGTCACAGGTTTTGGAAATTACACATTGTGAGCAGAAGGAAATCTGAAGACGCTGGCTGGTGTACTCGCTGTGCCTTTTGACCCTTTGGGTCCTCCGGGCTTGATCTATTACCATCTACCATTTGAACTGATGTCTTCAGTCCAGCAATTTTGCAAATCACGCTGTAGAATTTCCCGAACTGCGAAGAGCATTGCGATCGATACGAATTCTACGACCACAGACTTGAAAATCTTGGAAGCTAGCTTAGCTTACTTACTTGGTTACACTCGAGAACGATAGTGACGGGCGGAGTGAAGTCTGATGCACGCACCTGCTCTCAAGACGCACTGAAGGTATACAATCCTAATTGCTTTTGTGCCCATGTGCTACTCATCCTCATCAGCACCGACTGCTTCTGCTCCTGCAATAGACAGACGCAGCCCACGACACGCCGACTTTCAATCTGGAAGAGTTTTCACTAGAAACATGAAACGATGTATTGGAGGTGAAGCTCAGATTTACAGAAAGCGCAAAATTCATGACCGTAATGATACCCGGTCGTTTCCATTGATTAAGTCAACCGTGGCGAGAACCGCTTTCATTAGAGCACTTTTGAAAACAAGAATTCACTCGAGGAAATAAACTCTTCTCCAAATTCCAAGGCATCCTTAAGCAGTGAAGACATCCTCTGACTCTGAATTGAGACGCAAGTCCTCCACAAGCCTGACTCTGGCTTCGGATTTTGCTCAGATTCTTCCTCGCTGGAGATCTAAAAAACAAACAGGGAAAGGAGCTGGAGACGACGATGTTGTGGAAGTGGATGAAGGATGGAGTTATACGACCAAAACTGAGCTGAGACTCCAGTTCAGATATCGTACGAGCAGAACAATCTCAAAAAAACAGTTCAAAACGTTATTCCCCATCATCTAACGCTGACCTTTATTAGCCCAGATATATGATGGCGGCTGAAGAACCAGAAGACCTTACGAGTCGTGTAGACTTCATTTAAAGTATCCCAGGATCAGTTCCAGTGCTACCCTGCTACAGTTTTATTTCTTCTAGCTGCGTCCGACCTGTTGGCAATCACTCGATCACCTTCTGCCGTGGAACCCATGCAGGCATCCTGAAGGGTCTGTTTAGGGAGGAGTCTTTATAATCTCAGACTTGCAAAAAGCCTGGATGTTTGGGACGATTCCTGCACTGTCACTTTACGCCTCTCCACATTTCAGCGTGCAAAGCTGCGCTTGCTTGCATCGCAAAAGGGTGGTTTGAATTTTAAGTGTTCGCATCTCATGAGGGCGGGCCCCGAGCGTACGCAGATCGAAGACATTGTGTTCTCGCAACACCAGTCCGGAAATGAAGTAGAGTATTCTCGAATGCATCAAGGATCCCAGAATTCGTGATTGCTTTTGTTTCGATTCGCATCTTTGACGAGGCTCGTCATGCTTGCTTGCAAACGGCTCTGCTACTTTCGCGCCTCCAGCCTCCTCGACAATTTGGGATGTTGAAGTATTTTCCAAAATGCCAAACTGGAGTCTCTGCAATTTTCTTACTAGTCGTGAACTTGATCACAACGCTGATCGGTTGCGTTTGCAGGACGTCGGAGCAGGAAAATGGTCTGTTCAGTTGCAGCAGTCGGATGGCCAGTGAGGCACTCACTACCTCCATCGAGCGTCTGTTCATCGAGAAAACCCTCCTGCAGCAGCCTAATGAACCTTCAGAATCTCATCGTTGGATTCCTGAGGTCGATCCCTCCTCTCCCACTGTGCTCTGCTGTGTATCATGCAGTTCACATTCTCGTGTATCTTTGTGGGGAAACAAAATTCGCATGACCGTAGCTTTCGCGTGCTCGAATCTTATGACCTGCATCTGGCGGAATCCATTTATTCAGATTCTTGTCAACATCGCTGCATATTTTCGTTCGTCTAAAAGTCAGAAAAGAATTTTGACACCTATGACAGCAGTTTGACATAGAGACCAACGTAGACATAAATTTCCCACTAGTTTCCAGCCTGTCAAATAGATTAGCCGCAGACGAGTATCCGGTCAACTATTTTCTTCAGCTGTCATACAGGGGTAGGCGAGGAGAGCAGGAACTGTGTTGTCACTGCACATATTCTTCACAGGAAAACTTTTGTTTTTCCCAATCAAAATATTGCAGGACGAAGTTCCTTCAATGTTTTCATCTAAAGCCTTCACTTTGTCCTCTTATTTTATATCTTGGGGTTCACGAAAAGTTGAGAATCGATGCTAGATTGGAAGATTTTGCATGACCAAACCTTTCAAGCATTCATTGCAATGCCAGCATGCACCTCGGGATAAGATAGATACAGTACTCCAATACAGTCTGCCTGAGCAACTTGTACCCTATCTCACTTTGGGATTGCATTCTTATACAAGCGCTGAAGATATCACCGTACAACACGATGGCACACATGATCATCTGCTGACAATCATAGTACAATCCCAACATCTTCAGAAAGTGAAACTGCACACTTCAATAATTGTAAACCAGACTGGACGCCCTTTCAAGGGTGAGGTTGTAAAATGGGCCTGGATCTAAGCATATAAGCTCCAACAGTTCCGAAGACGTCTGGGCGTGAACACAGTCAAAATTGATATGCCGCCCACGACTTCTTCACTATCTTTAAGGTTGTCCTTAGTTCTGCCCACCAACAGAGGTCTTATGCAAACCTTCACATCGTTTTCCAAAAATGGAGTAACAACTGATGTGATGTTTAATGTGTAGTTACATACGGCACTTTTGAAAAATAGATATGTTATGGAGATACGTATGATAACACACATATCTCCATACCACCAGAACTTTGCCAAATTTACCTGGTTTCCAGCAGAATGATTCTCAAGTTTTGGCTCAGCCGAAAGTGACTATGGACTTCACACGGCACGACTTCATACATCATTAGTAAATATGGACTTCAAGAGTAATTTCAACAGTCCACAGTCTTCTCTATAACATACATATACACACACAGAATCCCATCGAACATAAAATGGATTCTTTTGCTCATACCTGTTGATATAAGTATCTCTCCCTTACAAACTGTAGGTGGGGCAGGGTTTTATCCAAGTACTTTTGCGCCTTCAGCTGACGACATTGTGTGACGCTGCTACTTCGATAACTTCAAATCTGTCAGATTCTATGGAGTCAAGGCTCTAGCTAATTTGCACCACCGTCGATAGGTTTCTCTCCTATCTTCAATTGAGGTTCAGCAATTTGAACTCTTGTGCATCTAAAAACTACTCTTATGTATAATATGCCTGAATGTTACCTACAAGTATTGGTATCTCCATTCTTCCTCCAACATGGCGATGCTGCTTGATCTTCATTGATACTCCACCCAAAAAAAGCCTGAAATCATTATATTTCAGTTGAACACCATTGTTATGTATGCACTTTCCCGAAGAGTTTTATTGAAATTTGAGCAATACAAGCAAAAGCTTCTAACAGGCTTCTATGACAGTTGATTTAATACAAAGACACACCAAATTAAGTTTGATTCTACAAAGCATTCCAAATTTGAAATACTTAGATTTTATCACTTATGACTTCAATGCACTCTGCATAAATCATATGGCTTGGATAATTTCCTTATCAAACTTATATTTTGATATCCCTATCTTTGGTGGAATTCTTGTTATCTTGTCAAAATTAACCAAACAAGAAAGTCAACTATTGTCAATAACCGATGGAATCCGGAACTCGGGATCCTTTTGGGAACGGAACTTTGTGGGGGAGGTTGATACTTTCGGGAACGGAACTTTGTGGCGCGGGCGCGAAGCATATAGCTTCACCCAACCCCACTACCCACATCCTTATGTCTTTCTAAGCTATTTTTATACATCCTACTTGTTTTTAAGGTTAAATAATTGTGAAATTTATTAATACTACAAGTTCGGTCAATCGAATCATCATTCAAAGGGAAATAAGTTAAATTTTTCAATTTTTATTGATGTAAATATAAGATAATAATGATGTTTCAACGTAAATTTGTACTTCATCTCAACAAAGTTATTAGATTTTGTATAAAGCCACACTAGGTTTGATTATTATTTTTTCACTGAGAAATTGTACCTTGCAATTATTTACCTTCTTCAGTGCAAAAAAAAAATAATTGCTTATTAATAAGGTTTTAATTAAATTGTCTAATCTTTTCCAATTATGAAAAATCTGAAGATACAAAAAAACATTTAAAAAAATCAAAATCTTCAGGATAATGATTCTAAATTCTAAATTCAATCTCCAAAAGAACTAAAACATACCCTTTTGCAATGTATGATATGTATCACTTTACGAATAACTGATATTTTCTTAGTCCAGAAAATCCAAAGTACTTCATGTTAGTAGTAATGCAAGTCAAGACAATGTACTAATACAATTGGTTTGGGGTTTTCGGCCGACTGGCTGTGACTCTTCTGTTCCACTTAACGGGGAGAGTCTGCTAGTTTGTGTTCTCATGGACGTAGCTAGAAGGGCAAGTCACTTATCGTATGCGTCTTTTCTTGTGTCTGCATTCTCTATCGTGTGAATTTTTTTGACAATTGGCATCAAATCCGAGCTCCTTTTCTTGATAAATTGAGATTCATGAAAGTGGTAGTGGAAGCCTTCATTGCTTGAACTTGTGAACATCAGAGCACCGAGTGAGGAAGAGTGAGGAAGCCTGCGCAGGGGAGGAAGACGATGGAGTTCATGGATAATAGAAAATTGGATTAGAGTCACTTGGTGTGTAGCAGCTTTGCTGCAAATTTTAGTGTAATCTAACTTGTAGTTTGGAAAACTGGCCAAAAGTTGATTCTCGACATACGGATCCGGAGCATGTAGTCGTTGGTCGTTTGGAGGAGCTGATGGGGTAGTCAGACAAAGAGGAAGTTCGTTAACCGTTTGCCTGGATAATACTGCTTTATGGTGGATCAATGGTCATTTTGGTTGTGATGATGAATGTTGCCGATCAACCTCATTTCAAGAATGGAAGCTGTTTTTAGTTTCTATGTGAGTCGGCCTCCGCATGATGAAAATGCTGAAATTTGATCTGATCTGCCAACTCACTTCATACTTGTAATTAATTCCTCCCAACGACTATGATTTACTCATTCCATTTTTGATAATGTTGACTAATTCATTTTTTTATTTGACGAGTTGTCTCTTAATAAATGGCTCTATCGCCTTTCATTCAGACATGATTGGACTCTTAGTCTCGTTCTGAGAATCCACATCAGGCCCGTCAATTCTCTCCATATTCCAGGTGATTGCTGGAGTTTTCTCTCCATGATAATATGTATTTAGCTTGATCATCCTTATAATTGAGCCACTTCTTATGAGGGCCAGAGTTAAACTTTCACTTGCAGGCCAAAATTATCTCGTCATGAACTACTCATAAAGAGCCATAGACCGGGTATCCATATATATTTCTTTGACCAGATGTCATCAGTCTCTCGGAAATGCCTTGTGGATTATTTTTTGAAGATTGACTCGCATATACTTAAAGTCGAATCTTTGTTGGAAACCGGCATGATCTTTGAAGCTTTACTATAATATTTTTCCTTCAAGATGAGGAGATCATAGCTAAAATCTATCTAACTCAAAGTTATTATTTGGAGATCTTGAAAGAATATTGCGTTATTATCGCATGAGTAGCACAAGTAAAATAAACTATCATTTTAGTTACCTCTATATATTTTTACTCTATCATATTTTGGCTACGGTTTACTTCTAGTTAATTCCAACTTAAAGAGTGATCAATGTTATGTTATTTCAATGGTTTTATTGCAAAGTAAAGTGTTTGTTATTTTCCCGATATGTGTCAAAGGGGAGACTATTCTGATAAATCCAAGTTAAGACGGTGTGTGGGTAACGCAACCTTCCAACTTGTTTCATACAGCAGAACCTGTCTAAGTTAATTCTGCCAGGACCAACGGTTATGTATTAATTTAGACAGTATATTAATAAAGAGAGGTTCTCTATTCGCGTCATTTGTGATGGGGCAGTTATTAGCACATTGACTAGAGTCACTGGTTCTGTATGAAAAGCTAAAGTCTCGATGTAACAGCAAGACATGTTTCGAGATTGAATTATATTGAACTCAATAGCATTATGGCGCTGTCGTCAAACCCGTAAGCTGCGCTACAAAGATGGTTGTCACTTATGCTTGAAAGTTGCTTCATTTGTAACAGGTGCGTTCACCTTGGATAGCAGACACAACCAGATGCACAATCCAATGGCTTCAAAAAGGTCCACCAAGACGAAGATGACAAACGAGGTTTGGATAGCTCTTTGTGAGCACAAGCAAAAGCCTCCATTGCTGATGCAAGCAGACCTGATCAAATGGCTTCAAGAAAAGCATGCAGGTTCTGTGAGTCAGGGAACAATTTCTCTGACTCTCAAACATTTAGTTGAAATCCTTGCCAAGAAGTAGGATGTGAATCGAAATCCTTGCTAAGAAGGAGGATGTGAATCGCAATCCTTGCCAAGAAATACCCACTGATCGAGACAGCTCTGTACCGGTGGTTCCTCACATATCAAGACCAAGTAGGTCTCCGCCCCTCGCAATCCACGTCATTTCTCTCCACCGTTTATTTCTCTGCAGTGGTTATTAATGTAAAATTTTGGGACTGCTTGTGGAATATTAGTTATTAACTTCTTTAGGTTTATTAATAAGTACAAGGATCCAACTTGGAACTAGACTGGATATATTAGTTATCACATGTTATTAAGTTAGACATTATTAATTTAAACAGGTTCTATTGTATATTAAATCAGTGAGTTTAGGATTTTTGCCAATTGGCTATGAATCTCGTGTATTACTTAAAGCGGCGAGTCTGCTCGTCGCGCCAAACAT